TAATGTAACAATTTGAATGAAAGGTTGTATAGAATTATTAAAAAAGATTTCAAACATACAATGACCAGATATACAATGGACCATTTTAATAACCAGATAGTGTAATAACAGGATTAACTTGCATATGTCCTACTGATTTGTAGACCTGGTGTATGGCGTGTTGCATGCTCGAGGTAATGTCTTTGCATTGGGAAAAAGACGTCAAAACTCATTACGTTCATGTATGATGTGCACTATACTCAAGAGAATATGCTATTCCTAATTGTTCCACGACAACCCTTCTGAAACATTGCCTGTATTGGGGCCAGGTATTCTTCGAGTCCACTTCTTGTTGACTGGATACTTCTGTACTTCAGCATTGATCATGATGGTCAGTTTGAATGTCAACTGTGTTACAAAACATGTGATACGAGTAAATAGTTGTCTATAATTGTCAACATAGATATCTGCCTGCAAGTGGTTATTCTTGGGTATTGTGTTTAATTTATTTTTTACATTTGTCACATGATACTGTTGGTGTGGGAGTGTTCAGGTAGCATTCCATAGGCACCTCAATGTACTAAACACTTTTGAGTAAGAGACAGATGTCTTTCTAGAGTTTCTTAGTAGAGGAGCAAGCCCATAAAGGTGACTGGAAATGTTGCTTGATACATTGTTCACCTTTCACAACAATGAAACTCTGTTAAGAATTGTTTTCACATTTTGTGGCCCCTTTGTGAATCACTATCAAAGTTCATGACGATTTTTGAGGAATTAATCATGATCAATTGCATTGGCATTATCTTGAAATACTTCATAAATCACTGTCCTTGGCTGCTTAAAATACCTGAAACAGACTATAGAATAAAATGCCCTGTCTGAAATAAGTTGATTACATCTGACATTAAACTTTACCTGATGTCACATGAATGCCAAGTTAACCTTGTGACATCTTTATGCTCCTGCTGTACACAAGTTATCAATTAATTTTCCTATCTATATACCCTTGTGCAATGCAATGGTATAATCCATCTGTTGTTATGGACTAGTCCATGGTGTCACATGGGGGGTATCAGATAACTTTGAAAGTCTGCCTGGGGGCATTGTGGCACAAATGAAGGATCTTGTTGAAGTTTTTTTTCCCTGAGGGAATTCTATTCTGCTTCCATTGTTTGATGAACAAAGAAGAGATAAAAGTATTGGGTTATAGATTTCTATACTTTGAAAAGATTTTGAGTTTAAAAAATAATCCTTTTGTTGAAAGCATTCACTTAATTTTGTTTGGATAAGTTTAGTTTAGCAAATTTGATACAAAATGTCAGGGGAATTTCATTGGAATCATGCCTGTGGACTTAGATGTTTTGATAAAAACAGGACTTGAATCAGAACCAAATGTAATGCCATCTAGAAGATTATGTCATAACATTGTTCCATGCAGTATTTAGTAGTGTGTTTACAGGATACAGAGTTGACTCAACAGAAACTTGTTAAGGGCAAAATACGCCTCTGTTCCTATCTCTAAAACTATATGTTTGCCCAGGGGAAAGATCGGTTCCTCCTAGTTCATATTCATGCTCCAGAGGCAGATAACCCAGGGGCATTCCAGATATGTGTTTCACGTAATTTATGTGTTTGAGGGTCACAAATCCCATTCCCCATCAGTCCAATCTTTTTAGCTACCCAGATTTAAGCTTGAAGCTGTCTACAGAGGCGAACTGTGTTCAGATAAAACCCTATAGGAAAAAAGATGGGAGACCGGATTCCATTAGAAACTTGCTTCAGGGTGATTTGACCCGCATCTGTAAATAAATCGTGCTCCTATGTGATTCACGGGCCTTTCTGATTGGCTGCAAGTTAAAAGGGAAACCACTCATATGCCAATGGGCTTGGCTGGTTTGGGCCATCCATCTCCTTTCCGTGACATGTTGAATTAATTCACGACCAACACCAAATTTTCTGAGTTGAAACTGTCCTTCCAAGCTACCAGGCTGAGGGAGCTAATCCTATTTTCTGTCAGCCATCTTGTCTCAGATAAAATACCCCAGTTGTGACCATTTAATATTGTGAAGTTTGTTTCCATTTCATGGAAGTTCAGAAACAATTTGTTCAAAAATTATTTGAATGAAATATGAACACTTTTCATAAGACTGCTGAAATATGTTACATGGCAACAGTTTCTTTTCATGTAAAGAAATACCCACTTTGGACAGTTCTACATAATAGAACTATTATCGATTAGTGATAAAGAATATTTAATTGCACAAGTCAGCCATTGTTTGGAATATGGTAAAATCAATTGATTTTTTCCCTCCTTGAATATCCCCTGTTACGAATTAACATCCCAGCTGTGGGATACTGTGTTGTGGGGATTACTTCAGAAAATGTCAGAAATTATAAATAACAGCTTTTATTGATTATTTCCCTGAATTTATGTTTGAATGAAACGGTTACAAAATTATTGAAATAGCAGCTACTCTTAAAGATGTAACATATGCTAACCCGGATATATAATTACTCCCTGTGGGTTGTGTAGGAAAAAACTCGATTTTCTTTGTTCTTGTAATTTTGCTACAAGGCAATAAGAGTTTGATCCCCAGCTAAATTTGCCTAATGAGCTGCACTTAGGGGTAATTTCACTGGGGAAGGGTTGTTGGAGTTTAGCTAGGGGTCATCAGCTGACAAGGTAGAATATATGGCCTTTGCTTATCAACAGAAGGAGTATGCTTTCAGACATTTCGGGCGCATGTTTTTAGGCCCTTTCTAAATTAAATCCTTTAGGCTCTTTCTAAATTAAATCCTTTACGCTCTTTCTAAATTAAATCCTTTATGCTCTTTCTATATTAAATCCTATAGGCTCTTTTTAAACCTAATCCTTTAGGCTCTTTCTAAACTAAATCCTTTAGGTCTAACTTTGATATCCAAGTTGGTGGGACAGGATATCATACTCACTCTATAACTGAACTATTTTTCACTTCTTTCTTGGAATGATGACAAACATGTAGTCCTTGTTTAGGTTTTACTGTACTATAGATTATTTCATTAGCCATCTAATTCAGTTATTCTAGCAGGATACTACTTGACTCTTTTGTTCTGTAGTTCAATATTAAATGAAGTGTCTTATTTCATACTAATAAATATTTCTTAAAATATACTTAACAATTAAGAATAAATAACAAACAAAATTTTGTAGACTGGTAATGATAATAGTCCTGCTTCATGTTTGTGGAATATATGTATTTTATGAAACCAAAACTAATCTACATCGTTAAAATGAAAGTCTATAACCAGCTCTATTCCACAGCATAATATGAAATGAGCATCAGGAAAAACTAGAATTCAGAGGAGAGAATTGTATTGTGTAGTATAAGGTTTCATACACTATGCGTTAGTCTTGGTTATAACTGCTAGCCCAGAGAGGTTCCCACTTAACTGGTGTTGCAAGCTGTGAAGCCTTTCCCTGAATGCCTGCCCTGTGGTGGAGAATATGGAAAGGCTAGGAATCCATATAATGGAGGTTTGCTGTATTCTGCAGAGGCAAGGTCATTGGCTGGGAGGGTGTTATACTGAGGCTGATTTGTTGTTATACAGATGGTGATGGTATAGTGAGGTACTTGACTAGTGTTCAGCTGTTGGCCGCTTTCTCTCCACTCGGCCCAGCTTGTGGTTGCAGCTTTGATAATTTGTGCATTTCCTCGGGTGATGTTTTCAAGATGCTGGAAATTTTGAGTTTCAGCCAAAGTCTAGCTCTCAAAAACTTTCTTAGCTTGCTACATGAAGCAGAAGAAAATGTATTAAATATTTATGCCTTTTCCAAGCCGAAATAAGAACAAATAAGCTGATTTGGGCTCAGTTTAAGCGTTGAGAAAAATGCCAGCTATTTTGTCAATTGCAATCAATTTCATGTACTTTTCTTCTGTCACGTGTATGGCAAATTTCATTACTTAGCTCTATGCAAATTAGGCAGTGTCAGTTTGATTGATGGTTTGAGAAACAAAATTATTAGTGTGATGGACATGTGAAACATTTCATGGTCTGATAAATGAATGTAATGAATTATTTCAGTGTGAAGTATTTCAGTTTCCCTAACTGTCTCTGATACTAATGTTTGCCAGCTTAGCCGTCAGAAAGTGAATACTTCCTTCTTTATGGAGAGTCCTTGCTAATCCATCAGCCTGGATTAAAAGGTCACAATGGGTCAGTCCTCAGTTGGCCATTGTGAGCGATATTTAGATGCAGGTAATGACTCTGTTATGTAGGCTTCCAACAGCCTGTTGTAATAGCAAGGTGAAGGACACCTGTACTCATATGCTGTGCTTATGCTAAATTTTCTCTGCTTATGCAAGCAGGCTAAATCGAATGATTACAGTCTCATGTGGCCTGGCTAATATTTATCACATCCCTTTGAAACAACATTGAGCTCTTTTTTCCATTCAATGTTGAAACCACACACATATCTGGCATACAGCCAGATCGCTATGTAGTGCAGATAGTTTCAGCAACATTCAAGCATATGATACTTTATTCTAAACTGATAGAAGCTAGTAGCTGCCCGCATTGTAGGATGTCGCTGCACAGCAGATTTTAAATGGGTCTTTGAAATACATCCCTGTCGATATTTTTGTTCACTTGAATGGTTTCTTGGTATAATGGCTTCATACATGCTTCAGTGAGTGAAGTCAAGCTGTTCAAGGTTGCTAGGCAAAGGGAGAGAACTCTTGAAGGATCAGGGAGTGTCAAGTCCTTTGTGATGTCATTTGAAGGTGGTGATGTCACTTGTAGAGCTGAATCATTGTAGCATGATGTCACAGTTCACGTGTGTCTGCATTTTTTCCTTGATGGCGTGTACTGGCATGCGGTATACTACCACAGGCCAACTTTGTGCATGAATGTTTTGACGTTTCGAAATATACAACCTTTCCATCTAAGTAGCCAACAGTGGAAATTGCATTGACATTTCTGAACATGTAATTTTTGTAATTACAGTCATTGAATAAATACCAGTGTAGGTTAATTAGGGCGGTAGACTTGCCAACCAGTGTTGTACGTGTATACTTGACTTGATACTGTCTATCACAGCATATGTTTACATTCTTTACCAGTCAACTAAAGTGTGAACTTAGTCATGCAGTGTTGCACTTCTAATGAGTCAAAGGGTTATTAGTCAGGAATTATGAAATGTGCTTCTTGGGCAAGGGATGCCATTATGATTCAGCTGGTGTTCTGGGAAAGTTCCCCCTTTCTGAATCATAGCTAGTGAATCAGTGGGGAGTACCATGCCTCTATCAGCAGTTGAATCAGTTGGAGTACAGCTATTACTGCAGTTATTACTGGTCCTCTGCGTAGACCTGTATGGTCAGGGCTGAATGAGCGTGTGGGCCATATTCCTCTTATGGAGTTTAATAGGAGTCGTTCAACCGAATCTCAGATTTGGTCTACAGCTTTCAGTCAAGTTTCTGACATTGCTTGGGATATTTTATCCTCCCAAAGAACAAGGACAAGTGTCAGTTCTGTGCTTTCTGAAGAAAGACTACAGGAAATTGCTGAAAAAATATATTACCTCTCATTAGATTCTTTCTTACCATCTGAATATGGGATTTGTAATTGCGGGTGTCTTTGTGTCCCCTCCAGGGAGGATTTAAGAGGAAGTAATTTGCTGGACTTGCGACACAGCTGTGGTTGTGTGGAGACATGTTATATTGATGGATGGAGCAATGCCCACAATTTGAAACCCGCCCTAAATAAAGGATTGTATCAGGTCCCCGAGCAATATGCCGCACATGCTGAGAGTCGGGTGCGACGACCTATACAATGTGTAGGAGGTGTGACAGCGTTGACGGGTCCCAACATCTCATCAACGGATTCGCATGACTTGCTTACACTTGCACACACTGTGAGCTGGCCGCAAATAGACTATTGTCCTTCCCATTGTGTCATTTTGGGGAATCGGTTTTATCCACTGTTTGAAATAAACGGGAGGCCAGCCTCTAGTCCCATTGTCCCTACCCGGCCAGCAATGGCCAGTCTGGCTGAGTCTGATCGCCCAGTTCGTGACGAAGGTGGGATACTTCCGTATAGACAAAGGGATTTGTTGTTCGATAGGCATCTGAGGGAGTTTGGTCTGATCAGTGTGGATGGATCCGTGAATGAAATGGTGTTTGAGCATCTTTACCAACTGTGTTCACAACAAAACTTGATTCAGTTTTATCAAGAGCTGCACTCTCAGTACATATTTGAGTTCTACCTGTGGTTGTACGTCAGAATATGCGTGGACAGGAAGATGCAGAAAGTTCAGCAGAAGCTGGAGATCATTTCTCGCATCTTAGGCCAGCCGGTTGAGAGTGTGCTGATATCCACTCTCACCAGCTTTGTTCAGAAGCTGGTGTCAAAACAAAAACAGATTGTAGACTCGACATTGATCTTGCTCAGACAAGTTGACATAGGGGAAGTAACTCCCTTGCTGGCCTCTCGCTTAGAAGACCTTGCAAGAACCACAAATATTCAGCTGGATTCAAAGCGACTGCAGCGTAAATTCTGCAGAGATGTGGCCATTACAGCCAGGAGGATCCTGATGGAATATCAGAATGGATTAGTGTCGAAATTTTCCAGGTATTCATTGATGAGCTTGTTGGGTTGTTTACTTAGGAACATGTGTGGCTGGAGTGTGTCACAGCTGGCTGTGTTTGTGATAGGCATGTGTTGCTTCATATGTGGGGCTGCTGATAATAATGGTAGTCACATGCTGGGAATTGTTAGTCATTTATGAACAGAATATTTCAGGATGAATTTCATCTTTCCTGTATTTCAGCAGCCATGTTTGTATCATTTGGGTGAATATTGCTTGGACTCTTGACTTGCTTGACTCTCTTTCACCAACTACCATGCAACACATGGATTTTTTGTACTTACAGTGTAGGAAGAATTTGATGAACAGACAATATGATTTTTCTGATGTTATATGTTCGCATCCAATGGTGTTCACATGAGTGTTTACAGTTTACGCAATGATATGTTGTAACATTCCCACTTTTTATTTCAGCCCTGGAACTAGAAGGAGGACAACTCGTGAACGCAACACATTACGGCAATCGGAATCTCCTGAGCGCCGTGCCTTCCAGCCCCCTGTGTTGACAGGGAGACAACTCCATCCTGCGGCCGTCCTGCCCGGCCAGTCCCCCCAGCATCCCGTCGTCATTGATGTAGATCAGGTACGCTTCATCAACCCTCATGACTTTGTTTCACTCGTGATCTTGTTATAGGTCACAACGTTTCAGTAAAGGTTCAAAGGAAAATTATTGTATGTGACAAAAGCCTAATAGCTTTAATTCTGAAAACACTCATGCATTATTAAGAGATTCAATTTTCTGCTTGTCACTGTAACAGTTTCCGGAAATTGATATGAATGGTATGAAATGAGATGCCTGGGATAAGCTACCCCAACCTTGTGTCAATCTGTGAATTAATGTGAAAATTACCAGGCCCGCATGAATTATTAATGAGAACCTGTTGATCTAATGTTTCTTGATCATTAATTCACAACCACATCTCTTTTTTTCTTCCACAGGTTCAAGTGTCTGCACCTGTTTCCATGACGCCATATGCCATCCCCGTGTGCACCGGTCCGCATCATATGCCTGTGTGTAGTGCCGCACACATGCAGATGTGCAACACGCAGCCAACATGGTCCATTCCTGCATGCACGGTGCAGCTGCCGTCGTGCAGCATGCAGCACATTCCAGCGTGCAGTCTGCAGCAGATGCCGGTGCCACACACGATACCACCGATACTGCACCATACGCACCACCCACCCCCTCACCATCCAATGCCACACCACCATGGCTTGACGCACGCCGGACATGCACAGTTTCCACATGTCCCACAACCTCAGATGCGGGTAGGTACCACAGATATAAAAAAAATATTCATGAGTAAGTCAGAGCACCCATTGCTCCATTGTTTAAGAATATAGGTAAAGGATTTAGAATTAATCTTCATATTTTTTGTTTCAGGATGAAGAGGTGCAGATTATTGCAGAACACCGGCCACACTACCCCCTCCCCCCTAGTATTCACCCTGGGGCAACACTTAACCCCTCCCCTCCAGTCATTTTACAAGAGCCAGTTGTGCACCCAACACCGCATGATATATATATGGTAAGAGAAACGCAAATTGATATTTATGATTATATCAAAGAAATACATGTATATATTTTTCAATTACTTGATTTTGTAAGTTATTTAATTTTTTATTTCAAACTTCAAATATATTTGCTATTGCAATGTCATTTATGTACTAAGTTTTGGTATTGTAAATGTGTCTTTGATCAATGTTGTGTAGATTCTTAATGACATGTTACTTTCAGGGTCCATATCAGCGCTATTACGCAAGAAGAGCTGCAGGACGCAGCCGGTTACGTGGATCACTACCACCACCTCCACCTCCCTACCCAGGATTCCTTCTTCACTTCCTGTAAGTTATATTATCAGGCCCTTTAGATGACCTTTGTAGCCTTTCAGTCTGTGCCTTTTGGCATCATTTCAGGAGATTTTAGTGTTAAATATGGACTTACTAGACAGACAGCACTTACTGGTCACTTTTATTATCGGTTAATTCTTTCCATAACCTGATGATAGGGGCGGTTGGGTAGCCTAGTGGTTAAAGCATTCGCTCGTCACGCCGAAGACCCAGGTTCGATTCCCGACATGGGTACAATGTGTGAAGCCCATTTCTGGTGTCCCCCGCCATGATATTGCTGGAATATTGCTAAAAGCGGTGTAAAACCATACTCACTCACTCCTTCTTATCCTGATGAGAATCATTGCTGAATACTTCTTTAACACATACTATTTCTTCCCCAGAGCTATGTTGGGTAACCCCCCTGTGCCTCCCTACGGCCGAGACCCCCCAGACGAGGCGACGGAGGAAAACTACGAGGTAGGTGTACGTGTATATTTTGTTTCTTCGCTTGCTGATGCTTGCAACACGCTGTTTGCTGTGAGACTGTCCTTCAAGAGCAGATTAACCGTTATCAAGCAGTAAAATATAACATCCAACTTACAGGGGTGAATGAATTCTTGGATGGACAAGTGCTACAATCCCAATTTACATAGATACAATTGAAGGAGTGTGTAAAGCCCAACTCCCGGTGTGTTCAGTTTCACTAGTAGTAAATGAACCCACTTCTGATGTTTTGTTTTACTTATGTGTAAATTGTGTCTTGCAGGCCCTGTTGAGCTTAGCGGAGAGACTGGGAGAGGCCAAGCCTAGAGGTCTTTCTAAGGCAGACATCAAACAACTACCTGCATACTACTTTAACAGTGAGACTCCGCGCTCGGACCTGGACCAGACGTCATGCGTGGTGTGCATGTGTGACTTCGAGAGTCGCCAGCTGCTGAGGGTGCTTCCGTGTGGCCACGAGTTCCACACAAAATGTGTCGATAAATGGCTCAAGGTGAGTCTGCCAAGACCATAACATGATAAGAGCAATTGTCAGACACTGAACATCCTAGACTGTAGTAGGACTGACTAGGGGGATGGAAACAATGCAGTCTTTGAGACACTTTCTCACACATGATCTACATATCATCAAGGGGGCGGTCGGGTAGCCTAGTGGTTAAAGGGTTCTCTTGTCAAGCCGAAGACCCGGGCTCGATTCCCGACATGAGTACAATGTGTGAAGCCCATTTCTGGTGTCCCTCGCCATGATATTGCTGGATTATTGCTAAAAGCGGTGTAAAACCTCACTTACTCGCTATATAATATTTCTTGAAGCCATGGGTCACTGCTTTGCGGCTTGTAAATATGCTACTCAACATGTGCTAAGGACCAAAACAGTGATCTTTAGTCAAAGGTATGGTCCAATGAGCAAGTGTTGAGTACCGGTAGTATATAGATGAGTGGGAATGTGACTGTAGACTTCACTTGAGGGGGAAATCAAATTGTTTTCTGGCTTAACAAAAAAGTTGAATAAATACACATTCACCTGCCTTTCGACACACTCACATATCAAATCCACATATTTCATTCCTCTGGTGAGTGGTGGCACATTTATGCAGGGATTACTTTGAGGAAATTTTAGATACAATGTATAACAAAAACAGTTACTTTCCTTCTTCAGCATTTGACATTATTGACAATAACAAGTCTGTTTTGGTAAATCTAAACTTTATTTCATCACAATAGTTTATGTAAGATATTATTGATGACAATTTTCATATCGATAACAGTTAAAAATTACATTTATCAAACCTTTTTGCCAGCCCTTCTAGTTACAGAGCTATGTAAATCCCTACTTACAGGAATATATCTGAGCAAATTGTTATTTCCAGACCAACCGAACCTGCCCTATATGCCGAGCCGATGCCACCGACATGGCCGGGAACCACTCAGAATAATACTGTCCACCAACTAGCAGGTGGCGCTGTTGTCGCCAACACTTCAATGGAAACAAGAACAAGCGTTGTGGGAAAAGACAAATGTGCAAACTCTAGCTTAAAAAACTATAGAATTTGTACATAGCCACAATTCTCTTTCTCTCCTCTGTTGGTTCTGAATCTATCAAAACTCATTACCTCATCGTATTGTGTGCGAAGCTGTATATAAAGCTTGTGCTTGGCCGTAGATAGCTTGCAGACAGATGTCAAGTCTATACCAAGGAGAAATACAATATTGGTTGATTGGACTGAGGCAAGTCAGGGACAAACTGTGACTTTTCTACTCTGACTGTCAACAACGAGACAGACCTGTTGGAGAGCTGCACCCACACACTGTGTTTGAATACCTTGAACATTGCAAGGATTGAACAGATGTTGGAAGACTTTGTGACTTGTGTGAGGATGGACTACTTTCCTGGTCAAGGAATGGGTGTATTGTGTCTGCCTGCATTGGTGCTGTAAAAATGCTTTGTCGCTCAATTTTTGTTTGTGTAAATCGTCGCACACGATATTTCTTGGCCAGTTTTCAGATAATCGATGTATGCAAGAGTAATAAGAACTGTATAAATCTCATAGTATTTTCCTACCTGTAGTATTTTGAAGATTCATGACATGCTCAAGGAAGGTTATTGAAATAATTCAGATTTATAACATTTTTTGTTATGCATATACGCAGTTGAAATAAACATAATAATTCCCATCTATTAATTATATCATCTCTCAGTGATGACATGCTCCAGGATTCTCAAATATGGTACATAATATTTGTCTGAGCAGATGTAATCTACGCAACTGACATGCCAAAATATGAAACATACCGTGTACACAAGTACTTGTAGGTACAAGTCAAACTTTTAGGTTCATTCAGTAATACTAGAGTTAAGATTCATGGGATTAACAAAAACGGAAACCTCTTGTAGATTTCATTGCTTGTATATTTCAGTGAAATTCATTATTCAAATACGGTTGTGGAAGCCCTGCTCATCATCAAAGTGTCTTCTAAGGCAAATACATTTGCATGTACCTTGACATGAATCTGTCACAGCTTAAAGCATAGTAACTAACATTGTTAAAAAGACGATTATGAATACGACAGTGATTTGCCTTTAAGCATTTAGACCATGGGTTATGACCATATTTGCCTTAATCTTCAGATATTTGGTCAATTTCATTGCTTTACTTTCAAAATAAGTCCAAACATTTCTTGTATAGTTATTCTCCATAAATCTTTCAAAGTCATAGCATATTCAGGAATGTCGAATACTTTTTCCTCTCTCTTTTCCAAGCTTTTGCATAATTTTATAAGCATCTTCATGCTGCGTCTACAGCAGTGCATTTCTTGTGTTACAGCTTTGAAGATATATTTGTTTAATTATCTTCACTGTTTCTGTTTCCTTTAGTTTTCTTTTGCAATTTATACCTCAATACAAAAGTGGACAAAGAAATTCATTTGATTTCAGTTTATTATTCTGGTCTGTTTTGTTCTGAATTTTTATCTTACAGGCAAAAAATGTATATAAAAATGTTATTGATTGAACAAGATTGAGTTGAATTTCATTACTGGTTTCTGAAAGTTAGATATTAATAGTGAACAATACAATGCCTTATTCAACAAATTTATTAAGCAAGAATTTACTAGATTTATTATCATCCAATATTTATTTTTGGGGGTAGTTAATCTTTATGAAAAGTGTGTTTCCTCTTTTTAAGTTGTGGCTATTAACTGTTTTCATAAGAATCTTAATCTGGATTTTGACAAGTAATAGTTTGTCCAGGAATTTTTCTACCATATAATCTCTTTACTCACCTAATGATTTCTTGTATGAACTATTAACTATAATAAAATGTTCTACATTATTTTGAAGTAGGATAATGTGTGTATGTAGTTTTTCTTTAATTTGATTACAGTTATGACTACACAAAGTTCTTACTGTTTAAGCTTTTCTTCCATGTTATGCAAAATGTTAAATTTCACACTCTAGAAGTTTGACAGTATGTATATCTATATATATATACTTTCCCCCTCTATGCGGCATTGCATATATTTTGCAGTCTGTTTCTACTGACTAACTGTTAGTTGTTTTTGTGTTGATCACAAATAATATTCTGTTCTGATCTAGTGCATTATAGAAATCCACTTTGTGAAACAGGAAGTGGTACGGGTTTGCTATGAAGGCTAGCTTCAGTCACAGTACTTGATATTTCCAGTCAATAAGTCACAGTTAATCAAATGTCTCTTCTCACAGGGTACACAGACTGAAACTTTCCCGCCATTTGTGAACTCGGAAGAGCCTGTAGCAATCCCAATATGATCTACCTCTGCTTATTTCTATATTATACAAATGCCTTTTTCTCCAATATAAAATTCCAAATGTTCTGTGCTTTGTGAATGTCTCAGAATTATGAATTGTTTTGTAAGGAAACAAACATTGTTTCAGTATATATCAAATGTTGTAAATGAATGCAGATGATGCAACTCACTTTCAAAGTGTACCTTTCAAAATATATGGCAATAAACCATAAAGACAACACATCTCTTGGTAGTTTATTCCTGTTCTTGTGAGTGTCTGTCTGTATATGTACGTACCAGTCACCACATTTACCTTAAACATGGAGGTGGGGTAGCCTAGTGGTTAAAGTGTTCACTGGTCACCCTGAAGATCCGGGTTTGATTCCCCACAAGATGAAGTCCATTTGTGGTGTGATATTGCTTGAATCAATATTGCTAAAGGCAGTGTAAAACCATACCCACTAGAGTAGAAACTGATTGTGGACACATCTTAAATAATCATGCATGGCTCTTGATAATGTTTACATGGAAAAATGATAACATTAACATCTCCTAACACTTTTTATTGTTCTTATTCTTAACTCCCTGACAATTTATGGCTCATGCCATAGATCTCATCGTCGGAACTGCTGGTGCCTGAACCGACTGCCACTATTATAGGTTGGACTGTTGCTGGCCGTAGTCCATCTCGTGACCAATAACGTGGCTCTATCTCGTCAACGATTGTGGCCACACACCGCCTCCATGTTTCTACTGTTACCCGACCAAGGGATTCCTTTACGAGGGGTTCAACGTCTCGTTGTGTTCGATCGTCCAACGTCACCCTTGACGATGCCCCATACCAACTCGATTGGATTCAGGTCGCAGTGATAAGGTGGCAGTCGTAAGACAGCGTGACCCTGACCCTTGATGTAACTGTCAACTTTATACACGGGGTCAGGTTTCATAGTTTTGATGATTTCATAGAGCTGTGGTTTCGTCGCTCGAGAAGGAAAGGTATTGTTCCTCCGTTGCAGCCAAGTAACCATGTCTCCTTTACGGTTATTAGAGGTTGGAGTCTTGCTCTCTGGATCCTGCACACTATGATACGGTGCATTGTCCATGACAATGAGAGACTTGGTAGGCAAAGCAGGGACTAATTTATCTTTCACCCACTCCAGAAATACATTGCCGTTCATTTCTGTGTGGTAGTCCCTGTTGTCTTTGGCCTTGGCTCTAAAGACGAGGTCACAGTCTGGGAGAAAACCCTGACTAGCAGAAGCAGCATGGAGAACTATGAGTCTTTCACCCTTTCCCATTGGTAACTTTCTACCAGACTCCTTACAGTCACCACTGGGTACCCACTGACTGCTGGCTGTGTGTGACGCATTTACCCATGTCTCATCTAAGAAAACGTGCTCATATCCTTCTTCACGTTTCTGCTTGATGGTACGAAGGTAATGATTTCGGAGACGAACAATGTCAGACCGTTCACACAACACAGCCCTATTTTCTCCAGTTATCTTTTTGTATTTGTAACCAAATGTATGCAACAGCTGCCATAGTTTGTACTTTGTAACACGTAAATCATGGTCAGTTTCAAGGTGTTTCTTCAAAATTCTTAGGGACAGGTACTTATTTTCTGAGTGCAGTTTAACAATTGCACGTCTGACTTGATCCCTCTGAAAACTGTCTAATTTATCAACCTTGCGTGGTTTTGACATGTTCCCTACCTCCTTGGCCTGACTATTTGTATCTCGTCGACTAACAACATTTTTAAGTTTCTGAGGGGACATACCAAGAGCTTTCAAGAATTTATTAATTGCATAAAAAGGCTTTGCTCTTTCTGCTTCACTTCTAAAGAAATCATACACATTCAACATCAACTGTTTAACATCTGCTGAGTTGCGCATCTTGTCATTGAATGAACACGGTCACTGTGTAGCACGTGCAGACCGTGCTTGCGCTGTTCCTTCCCAGTTTGTCCCCCTACGTGTCATGTACACATTTCTATACAAAATTACATGATAGTTTCTTAAAGAACTTCATCCGTCATGGGTCTTAAATTGAACAAAATTCAGATTTTGTTGGGTACAGGGTATTCATGGTCAAGTACCGTATTGATGTTTCATACACTTTTCTGGATTTCGAGTTATTTTGCAATTCATCGTTCTCATTTGGAGTCAAACGGACTGTAGCTGCAGCTGTGATTATGTGTGTAATCAATGTCATGCTATATAACCTGGAGATATAGGAGTGCTAAATTGAAAATGGAACCAACCGAATGTGTGGCATGAGTTTGTTTTTAAATGTTTAGTGCCATCAAACTTCAGTTAACTTTGTTCCACAATAAATATGTGGTATCCTGTTTATCTCCATTCAACTCTGACAAAATTACTACTGTTTGATGTTCATGAAGATAGTGGGTGAAGCAGCATGCATTGTTTCTTTAACTTGAATATTCTATACTAGTATAAGTGACAGGCATAGAACATGAAGGGTAAGTCCAGAAGTAATCCTTGCAAGTATAACTTCTAAACAGCTCATCCCTCATGTGATACAATGGTGTCACAGTTGGAGACAGAAACATGCCAAACTTCCAGCTCTCAGTGGCCCCAAAACTTGAAATACATTGTTTGTACAGTGCAGTACCAGCAACTCTGCATGTGGTTACCTACAATTGTACATATTGTTTTTAAAATGCCTCCATTCTTTATTAAGAAAGAACAAAAAGCACCATGGCCATCAAATTGTCTATTTCAATCAGAGGTGAATACTGTAATATTGTGATCATAATGAAGTATTTTTCAAAGTCAGGATAGAATGCGTGTGATTCAATTCTACACATGCAGCTGTAACCAGGTGTGATTCAATGCTACACATGCAGCTGTAACCAGGTGTGATTCATTGATACACATGCAGCTGTAAACAGGTGTTATTCAATGATACACATGCAGCTGTTACCAGGTGTAATTCATTGTTACATATGCAGCTATGACCAGGTGTGATTCATTGATACACATGCAGCTGTAAACAGGTGTTATTCAATGATACACATGCAGCTGTTACCAGGTGTAATTCATTCTTACATATGCAGCTATGACCAGGTGTGATTCATTGATACACATGCAGCTGTAACCAGGTGTAATTCATCGATACTCATGCAGCTGTAACCAGGTGATTCATTGACACACATGCAGCTGTAACCAGGTGATTCAATGCTACATATGCAGCTGTAACCAGGTGTGATTCAATGTTACATATGTAGCTATAACCAGGTGGGATTCAATGCTACACATGCAGCTGTAACCAGGTGTGACTCATTGATACACATGCAGCTGTAACCAGGTGTGATTCATTGACACACATGCAGCTGTAATTAGGTGTGATTTATATGCAGATATAACTTGGGAGTTAAAATTCTTCTTTGACCAATTGTTAATGTAATCTTCCCATTTCTGGTGTCCCCCGCCGTGAAATGTGTGAGATGTAACAAACCAATGTAATGTTACTAGGTTTTACACTAGGATCAGACCATCTGACCAGCATCTACCCCAGACTATGCTGTGCAGTCATTATATAAGTGTGTGGAGGCAACATTGCACGTGGTGTAGACTAACATCTAGTCTCTGAGAAGAACATACTATACAAAAATATACAGTTGCTAAATTATAGTTATAAAATATAATAAAAAGGAGCCAAGAGACTTGCTTCATTATCAGATACTGCAGTAATCAAGACTTGCCAAATATCATAAACTTGCTTGGGCTGTATTGGATATATTTGTTTCAGGGTCCGAATGCCAGACAACATGTGGTATAAATTGTGTGTTCTGTGGGTAGTAGATGACTGACTACATGTTTGTACATCTTGATTCAATAGACAAATGAATAGATTATTGTATTTGCTTCATTTCAGTGATACAGTAATAGACTGAACAATGACTTTGGGCATATAATGTGTACAAAGGACTTGTGCTGGACATTGCCAGTACACATTTGCCTCCAAATACGTACCAGCAAACTAGCATTTCATTCTGGCAAACAAGATATACACATCTGTGCTTATGTCCCTTGATAAGTTCTGTTTCACAATTCACAAGGAACTTGAAGGTAATTTCAATCTGTTCAACAAAATCTATCTCAAGAATGTATCCTGTCAAACAAAGGCCAGCATGGAGACTGTGGATAACCCTAAGAAACAACACAGGTAGCATACCTGGGGCCCGTTTCACAAAGCAGTCAGCTCCTATATTCTAACATAGACTTACAACTTACGACAGTCATAGCACTACACCCGTTTGTGGAATGGGCCCTTGGACATGCATGCTGGCCGACTCGCATCACAAACACCTATGTGATTAGCAACGCTAATTGCTCCGTGATGGATAAAAGACCGACTGATACGCCCAGTATAAGTAGAAAAGAACACTGAGGGTACTGGTGAGGTGAGTGTCAATCTCTGTTCTAAAGAAGGCATGTAGTGGCTATGTCCATAAGTAGTCCAAGCAGAGCTTGCCGGCCTGTGCGGGTCTGCTGTAGCAGGGGCCAGGGAGATAACCCTCACAAGCCCTCGCAAGCCCAGATCAGCCATGTGACCTGGGGTCAGGGCCTCCAACATGGTCACCTACCTTCAACAAACATACTGCAGTCTGGCCAGGGATAGGTAGAGACAGGTACTATAGCAACAGGGTTGGACTAGCCATACAGCTTGTGTGTAGTGCACATACCTCACTGAGCACACCAACATCAGGCGGGAGACTTATTACTTAGATAGTTCCACACAACCCAGATGATATTTCAAGTCACTGTCACTGTACTGCTGTTTTAGCCATACTGTGTGAGTTTTGTGCAATATATATATTATTAAAGCAATGTCTTGGCAGGAGACCCCAGAAATGGGCTTCATGGCTTCAGCCTGATTGGTGAACGCTTGAACTACTAGGCCACTCCATCTAACCACCCCAACTGTTGTGAATATTGCTTGAGTACTACAAACTTTAATAATTACAGACCATGACAAGACCATTTCTTCTTCTAAAAACTCCAAACTATAAACTCCTTGGTGAAATATGTTTCCACGAAAAGGTTTGAAAGGATATTGTAAACTAAGACACTAAGGAATTGGATGTCATTAGCAGGTTTGAACATTACAACACTTTAGGCCACATTAAAACATGTCTTGACTCTCGTCATCCTGAGCTTAATGTCCTGTAAATCCTATTTATGGGGTGTGTTTGTGTGGGCCGATGTGTAAATGC